GTGGGAAATTCAACTTAGCAAATCGCATGAGTTGTTTCTTAGGTCTTAGGCCTTAATTTCCATGTAGCTGTTCAGAGTGTTTTTTTCTGAGCCAACAGTATCAGCAACACCATAAAGTTTGTTAGAAGTTCAGAATCTCTGGCTTCACTCTAGACCCACTATGTCAGAATCTGCTTTTTTAGCAAAATAACCAGATGATTCTTATGCACACTAATTGTTGAGAAGCACAAAATTTTGGAATTTAACAAATGAAATATTTCTGATTCTGGGGTGTTCCTAAAGCAGTTAAATGAGACTCTTCAGTTGGGGCAAGTTGTTGGTGTTTTTGTTTGTAAAGCTCTGAAGGTGATTACAATGTGTAACAAAAGTTGAAAACCACTAATATTGGGGAATTTCTGGGTTGGAAAATATTTAGTGAAGAACAGATATGAATCTGTTTTCCTTGGAGATAACTTGCTTTTCTTTTTTTTTTTTAAGGATTTATTTATTTATGCATACAAGAGCTGAGGTACAGGCCAGAGATGAAGGAGGGTGAGAGGATTCACCAGAGGCAGAGCAGGGAACAAAACAGGCAGACTGACTGAAATACACTGCTGAGGGGAGAAGCAGGCGAGACATGAAACGTCTGCCTCACCATGTGGGTTGCTCCCTGGCTAGCCGGGGATCGAACTCGTGCTGCAGAGGCTGTGGATTGCCTCATAGTGCAGTGTTCAACCCCTTGTGCCACAAGGGAGGCCCTCTTTTCTTTTCTAACAACATACCACATTCAGTTGGGTGAATTGACAGGACTGGTTGATAAACCTCCTTCCAAACTATGTTCTTTCCTCTGCCATGTTGTACTGACTCCAAAATTTAGCCTTATACCTGGCCATGGCTTTTATGAGCTGATTTGATGATCTCATATCCTGTTGACTGTTGAACATGTGGCAATCCCCCTGTAGTCAGCCCAGTCAGATACTGTCAAAGCGTAGAACAAAGTATCTATCATTGGCATAGACTTGGGAAGTAGAATTAGACAAACAAAGTCACTTCCTGAGTGATCTGAGGTGGAATAAGACTTAAGCTTGACTATCCAGTTATATCCAGAGCGAGAGTTGGGGGTTAGTATGAAAGAATATCTTCAAGATACAAGTATATGGGGTCAAAATTCCAAAATAACACAAGAGTCCTTAATTCAAGTGAATGTACGAACAGTGTGGTTGTGACTATCAAGGCAGAAGTGCAGCATGGGCATTCAGGACATTGACCAGAAGTCAGCATGGGTCATCTACAGTGTGTGTTTATTTGGCCACAGAATAAGCTGGCCAGAGTGAAAGGCATAGATTTGTTTAAACAAATAAGAGTTATTGCAGTTCTGAGATCTCTGACCTCCTTCAGTGAGTACTATATTCTCCAGTGGATACACTCAATTATGGCAATAATCTCCTACAATGAATTTTCTTTCCTTACTGCAAATGTGATTTATTTTGAAAAGGCCAAACTTTGGTGATAGGAGATAAGAATGTTTTTATCTTTTTTGGTTGCTGAGTAATATTTCATCGTATATATGTACCACATCTTCTTGATCCAGTCATCTATTTTGGGGCATTTGAGTTGCTTCCATAGCTTAGCTATTGTAAATAGTGCTGCTATAAACATAGGGGTGCAGGTGCCCTTTGGAATTACTGTTTCTGTGTCATCTGGGTAAATACCTAGGAGTGGAATTGCTGGATCATATGGAAGATCTATGTTTAGTAGTTCAAGAAATCTCCACATAGCTCTCCGTAGTGGTTGGACCAGTTTGCACTCCCACATGCAGTTTGCAGCAACATGGATGGAGCTAGAAGGGATCATGCTCAGCGAAATAAGTCAGAAAGAAAAAGAAAAATACCGGATGGTCTCACTCATAGCAGGAATTTAGAAAACCTAAATAAGAGACCAGGAAAAAGACTAATCAATACAAAGTAAAAAACAAAATCAACAAGCAACTATAAACCAGAGACACACTACAGGGGGCCGGCGGGGGTGGGGAGGAAGGGTTCGGGAAAGGAAGGACTAGAGTCAAAATAAGGGGGGGAAGTGGGGGAGTGCAATTGTATGGGGGATATAACCAAAATGAAAATGCATAGATTGTGCAAAGATGAAAAAAGATGAAGCTGTAAGAATTATATAAAATAAAATATTTAAATTAAAAAAAAAGAATGTTGACCAGGATTTCAAATGATCTAGGTGGTCATTGATTATTTCATGATATCGGTGATGCATTTAGCTTAAGACTAAAGAAGACTGCTTTGCATAGTAAAGTTAGGAGATCATGAAGTATTTGTAATTGAAGCTGAGGCGGGGCTGGAGAGAAATTTTACCCCTTTTCTGTTAATGTAAAACCGTTTTTTTAAGTTTATATCTGTAACACAGCAAGGGATTTTTCTGGGTTGGTAGTACTAAAAATTAATTTCCTGGGTTTCTTTGCACCAAACACCTCAAAACATAATATATAACAGCCTAAAGAACTGGAGTAGTAGGGAATGACAGTGCTCTATTGATGAGTGTATATATTTCTGGTATCACAGATATACTGCGTGGTTCTAAAAACCATTAGAGAACTCAGTGGAATTGAAAAATAGTAATGAAAATGCATTTCTCCTGCTGGGGGCAGAATATAGAGGCATAAATACCATCTTGGCTCTGCCACTCGATTTGCAAATGATACATATTCCCAAAGATAGGTAAAGAGGAATATATTAGAGAATTTAATTCCCTAGTTCTTCCAGGAAGGGCTATTCTTCAAGTAGAATAGCAAAGTCATTGTATAAGTTTCAATCCAAAGTTTTGACATAGACTGCAGATATAGTCAGATTCTTAAAAATAACTAAACTGGATTCTTTACCAGTGAAGAAACTGAAGCTCAAAAAGGTCAACCAGGGGCCTCAGTGGTGGTGCAGGTGGTTGAGCAGCGCACTGTGAAGCTATCCGCCGCCTCTGCAGTGTGGTTCGATCCCCATTGGCCAGCAAGAACCCCATATGGCAAAGCAGACCTCTCCTGTCTTGCCCGCTGCTCCCCTCAGCAGTGTACTTCTTCAGTCTGACTGTTCTGTTCCCCACTCTGTCTCTGGTGAATCCTCTCACCCTCCCGCGCATCTGGCCTGTACCCCGATTCTTGTATAAAAATAAATCTTTGAAAAAAAGAAAGGTCAACTGGTTTCCCTAAGGCCATGGATGGTCTGAAATGGTCCCCAATACTGTTAACACTTATGTGTTATCAGCCTTATTGTCTCAGAGAGCATAGTTCCTTCTAATCAAGAAGTGTTATATAAAACAGCATCCTCCTCACTCACCACAGGGAATCTACTGCCTTCTAATAACTACTACTTGCTCTTGATTATTCTGGTGATTGATTATTTATAGTTCCTCCCATTCATTGGTGGTTTATTTCTCTAATAACAGTTCATTCTTGGAGAAGAAAAAAAATAAAGGGACCTAGGACATAGTCATTCTTTCATCTATTGGCGATATAAGGGTTGGTGGAAAGATCAAAGTAATTTTTTAGTACTAATTCCTTGTAAAATCTCCAATGTTTCATGACTCAAAATTCAAGTGGTGTAACTTATTCAATCATATAAATCACTAATCTTTAGTCTGTGAGTTTATCTCATAATTCATGTTCCTGTTAGAAGCATGATGTGTTTTAGACATCAAGTTTTGTAACTGTCAATGTGTATGAGTGTGTGAGTGAGTTACAGAAGGTAAGTTCCCAGGCTTTCCTAAGCTGAGAATGTCACCCTATGTGTGAGCAAATGCCTTTCTAGCCGATACTGGGTGTAAACCACTTGAAATTTTGGAGGAGGGCCAATATTTCATCATCTTGGCCCATCTCTTCAAACAGTGTAATGCTCTCGTGTGCTGTGCCAGAGCAATGAAATACCAAAGGCTTGTCCAAAATGCCAATGATAATACACCTATTTTCATCTAGAACAGCCACTGTAGTTCATGTAGTTACTTTCCCAACTGAAAAATGCTGGTGAACCAGCACAGTGAGGCCAAGATAAGTACCTGCTTACAGTTACTGGCAAACAGCAAAGAAAATTAAACTTCAGTATTGAGTCACTTGTCAACCTGGCAAGCTGACTTCAACTCCTACAACTGAGTTTTCATACTGCGTGGGATTTTGTCACATTCATCTGGGTTTACATGAGTATAGTTGTGCTGGTAAATTCTAGAAAAACCAAATACTTTTAATAACCACTGTATGCCTGTATTCTGGAGCACGTTGGAAATTTGCCATTTCAGTTTCTGAACGAAAATTGGGTTGTTGATGCCAAGGTGGGGGGAGATTATTACATGTATTGATGCACTGTGAACAGACAAAATGCAATTCCACTTGGCTGCTTAAGAACTTATGCAAATATCAAGTCCGCCTCCTACACACATGAGTCTTCTCCATCACTTCAGTGGGAGTTTTATGTGGGAATTAAAAAAAAGAGAAAAATGTCACCCAGTGTATGTGTCTGATCATGATTTAATATCTAAGCTGAAAAGTCCCAGAGAGTGAAAGCTTCTACCCACATAACACTAATAAATCATGGACACTGGCAGCCTTAGAATAAGCTTGTGCAATGCTTTGGATAAAATGAGCTATAAGCTGTCATTTGATAGTTGATAAATCTAAATGGACTTTCACCGTTAAATATGAAGATATTTAATTGAGTGCAAATGATAGCGTGATCAGTGTTTGCTTTTGTTCTCACTTTGTTGTAAGACTATAAAGATTCTAGTTAATAATCTGCCGGGAGAAAAGACCCTGCTGAGAGAAAGCAATTTAAATGCCTTATGGTCTAAAACAGCAGAGTGGGAGGAAGTGGGGGAAGAGGAGAGGGGCAGACTGTGAATGTGAGAAACAAAGACTTCTTTGGCTAAACCAATTAATTATACCTTTCTGTGTGATTAGGGTGCATTCATTGAAAATTAGAGTCCATATAATTTTGATTACTATTAAAACAAATACAAACACCTAACAAGTATGACCATGTTTTATTAAAATAAATAGTGGAGCTTATGGGATCAGTCCTTGGCATTTAAATGCAGTCCCATCTTCTGTTTCCCATGGGGTAATTACGTGACTCAGTCCACTGGACACCCAGCTGAGCCAAAGCAGATCTGCAGGGAGTGAGGCGAGATTGGCCTGGAATTCTTTTTGTTTGGCACTGGAGTTGCTAAATTAGTGTACATCTGGGTGTGATCTCCAGCTGTACCAATAGCTTCCTTCTTCACCCATAAGAAACAAGGCAGGTATGGTGTGTCTGTGGCCCTCTCATGTTTGAAAACTAAAAAAAAGAGAGAAACATTGAGAATGAAGTTTATGTAGCTTTATCCAAGACAGCTGGGCAGGCCATATTGAATCTAAAAAAATGGGAGTTAAGGGTATCCCTCTTCAGGGTACACTGATCTTCAACCACATGCAACCTTGCTATTGTGCCTTTATGCAGACACCTTTCAGCAATACCCTGGTCTCCTCAGAGATAGGCCTTCATCACCTCAAAAAAGAGATGATTTTATCTAACTTTTTTTAAAATTTATTTATTTATACAAACACTGGGTACAGTCAGAAGCGCAGGAGGGTGAGAGAATTCACCAGAGCCAGAGCGGGGAGCAGAGCAGGCAGAGGGACTGAAGCACACTGCTGAGGGGAGCAGCGGGCGGCAGGAGAGACCCTCCTCCTGTGGCCGGGGAGCAGCCAGGGATCGACCCGGCGGTGCAGAGGCTGCGGGCAGCTTTGCAACCCAGCGCTCAACCGCTGCGCCACCAGGGAGACCTCGATTTTATCTAACTTTTTAAAAAAAATTTTACATCATTGTTCATTTTTAAACAATATTTTCTTCCCCCACCACCTCAGTCATAGTCCCCATAGAATTTCCCTCACCAGTGCACCATCACCTCAGTCCCCTGTGCTCCTCCCTCCCTCCATCTGATCCCTCTCCCTTCTCCTACTCTGCAGGATGTCTCTGATTTATTATTGTCTGTTTTTGCTTTGTTGTGTTTTGTACTGTTATTATTTTTTTACACTGATGTCTTATTTGGTTCCCATATATTCATGCTATAAGTGAAACCATCCGATTTTATCTAACTTTTAAATATCTTAGAGCCAACTCCCAGAGGCTTTACCATTGAACACAATTATATTTTCATATTCATTCAATCGTAAATAATAGTTAAACCATAAATTAAACATGGAAATCTAGGAGTTATTTGTATCAACTTGCCTATAGGTAAATGTACCCTTACTGTGATGATTTCTTAAAATTTATCAAATCCCTTATCAGTTCACCTTTTTCTCACATGAGTATGTTGAGTCTGATTAGGGGAGTTTTCTGGAGACTGTCACTTTATTATTTCTTCCTTTTAAGTCTCTTGATTTTGTGTTTTATGTATTTTCTAATTATCTACACAAAACAATTTTCAGTACACCGTTATCGAGAGTGAGGAGAATGTGCTAATGAGAGCGATGCTATTTCATGATGGATCCTAATCACATAAAACTTTTCTACTAATAACTCCAGTCAATTTAACATAAAAGAAACGGTGGTAATAGTGGCATTTTTGGTGATTTTTGTAAGTTAAGTGGTCTCAGACATTGAAAGACACCCTCAGTCTAATTTCAATGGGATTTCGCCCATATTCTGCATGTTGTTGCATTTGAATGAGAATTGTATTAGGAATGTGTATGTAGTCAAAGGATAGAGGTATGTAAAGAGTTTTAGTGTCTGGCTTACCTGAGACAAATGTATGCTTATGCTCCCTCAACTTAGGCTGGATCAAGAATACTGAAAAATTCTTGGCAGGAAATAAATGATCTGTTGAACATATTTTGAAGTTTTGGTCACCCTTTGAAAGGGCCTTTTCTACCTTCCCCCCACCCAGTGATGGGAAATGTACCATAAAATAAAAGTCTTTTTTTGATCTTCACCATCACTGGTGGAAATAAAAATTGCAGCAATTAAGCACTGGAATAAGAAACATGTTTTGCCAGGTACTACTCATGTAGGAGAGATGGACTCAACCTTGCTAAGAGCCTCTAAACACTAATAGAGCTTTTATTTAGGTACTGAAGAAGATTCTTTTATAAGAAGCCTTTATTTTCAACCAAACCCATTTGTTTGAAGAGAGGTAACATCAACCAGTTATTAGGTGCAAAACACCTGAGTTTTATTCCTAGCCCCACCTCTAGCAAACTCTTTGACCTTTAGGACAGCCTAAATCCTCCTGCTAGCAATGGACTGAGTGACCTTGGACAAACCACTTAGTCACTAAATTTTTATTCATCTGTCTCTAAAATGGACTCTTTGCTCTCTGCCTAATAAGGATTAAGGAGATAATATTGGTAAATTGCTTTAGGATCCTAAGAAAAGCACACTTCAAATAGAAGTACCATTAGATTGTTTTTCAATCAAGCTATATGTTTGTTTTCTTCAATTATCCCTTCTCCTGTTGTGTTTACTTCAACAGTTGGGTGTGCCTTCTCTGACTGGTCCAACTAGTACCTTTTACACTTTCCCTATTCCTGTTAGTTATCCTGTTTTGTATATTGTTCCCAAGTTCATTTCTTTGAGAATAATCTACGAATTAATAAGTCATGTTGACCATAAGAACATGGTTTGCAGAAACAGGCTTATGGCATAATATAGGTTAAGTGATGGTAAAATAACATCCAATAGCTTCTTCTATTTTCAAATGATTATGTACAATAAAAATAATAATTAATGTTGTAAATTTCAAGTATGCCTTTCATCTGATCATCTCAAAGTATTTTAGAAACGCTAATTAAACTCCACAACACCCTTGTACTATACATATTATTATTTCCATTTTGCAAGGGAAGAAACTGGGGTTCAGTGAGGTTATGTGACCAGCATAGGATAAAAATGAGTCAGTGTCAGGAAGGAGATTGAGAGTTTCGAAGGTCCAGTGAAAAGCTTTGCATCTTGAGCTAATTATTGCTCTGTAATTCTAGAGATGGAAGGTACCAGGTAACCATCACGGACTCAGCATTTGAGAGTGTCTGTCCAGTGCTTATGTTCCCTGATGCTCCTCTTTTTCCTACTGATTTCAGTTCTTAACTTTCAGAAGATTTTCTGGCTTCTCAGGCTCATTCATCAGTGAATGAGTAGAGCTCATGCATGTAGATGATAAGCTCAAATCAGCTAATGTTATGATACTTCAATCAAAGCAAAAATACATTATGGGAACGAATGTTGAAATTTAGTGTAACTTGTTGGTATAGTACCCCTTGTAGATTTTCCTGTCCTGCTCTGTCTCATGCAGTGCTATAGCATTGAAGAGAACCATCCTATAGTGTTGATTTAATTTTCTTTGAATAATAAGAAGACATAGAAATTGACTATCTGGCATTAATATCCTAAATTCTATGAACTTGCTGGGAGAATTTGGGATACAGTGTAATTTAGAAGACCACACCTATTTCTTAGTTTGGGTGGGTTGACCTCAACTAACACCTGCCTTTCTAGGTTACTTTGGGTATTCTGAAGATACTAAAAAATGACTTTACTTCAAAGCACAGATACATTTTTCTTCTCATGAAAAAAGTTTACAAAACTCTTAAGTCCAATTCATGGAATCATCTATTAAGTCCTTATTGGGAGTGAAAAGTATCAGCCCAGGGATAGGAATCTATCTTTGTGGTCAGTACTGTATCATAAATAAAGGAAATCCTAGTGATTTCTCTAGGTGTGGGAGAGAAAAACAAATCGATAGGTCAGGGTCCTAGTTTGGAGGCAGAGTTAAGTCCATCTAGATTTCTTAATTGTTGTGTGATTTGGGACAGATCATTAAACTTCTTTGAACTTATTTACAAAATGAAAATACTATTTCTAAATTATGGGCTTGTTGTGCAAAAAAAAATAATTGAGATAATGTAGAAAACCCTGAACATGTTACCTGGCATATAGTAAGCATTCAATAAATGATTGCTATTGGTATTGATGCTTTAATTATCCTCTGAATTTTCAAGGCAATTAAACTAACAAAAACTGGTGATAAACAAGGAGACTTGTAAAGGATAAAAGGACAGAGTTTATTCAAAATAAAATAGTGCTACACTGAACCCTCTGGCCTTTGTGACTGGAGGAACAAGGTAAAAAGTATGTGACCAGCTGGTTCTTAGGGACCTAGGCAGGAGTAGATGGCACATGAACTAATAGGGACAGCAGGACATATACGTTGGCATAGAATATTATCACGTTCTTTAACAAAAATGTTATTGTTACTTTGTATCACAATGGAAAATTGCTCTCAGTAAGTCCCAAGTTTTCTTTTGATGTTTCCCAGGAAACTGTATTGACTAATGCCCTAAAGCATTTAAAGCTGTTTTCACAGACTTTAAATAATACTTGTGAAAATAATAATACCAAATTTAAAGCTAATGTAAAGTGAAGAATCATGCTAAATGGGACTGGGGGTGAAGTAAAATAACTTTTTGCTTATTGAAAAATAGATCCATAAAAAGTGCATTTGCCACTTAAATATAAAAGGTATTTGAGAGGGATTGGGGAAGATAGTTTCCTTTTGGTCTATGTACCATAGATGTAAGAGATGGAAAGCCATTTTCCTTTTCCTGATCTTGCAAGAAGATCCAAACACTCTAAATTAGATCTATGAGAGAAACTCATTAGAATTTATAATCCAAGACTCCAGGATGATGCATGAAAATAAAATTTATGGTAGTTAGAAGCACCAGAGTGTTAATTTATCAATCAATACGTAGTCTGCAGGCACATCAAAATCTATACTCTTTCAGATGGTGATATAGCTCAATGTTAGTCTGTTCCTTCGGTGTTTATATGTTTACTAGAGATTTTAATTTTTATTTCAGTAGTTTTTAAGTTATTCATCTCAGGTTTACCTCTTAATTGATTTTCCTGTCTTCAGTTTCTTTCTGATTCATTTTGTTTCCCATATTTGCTGCCCAAAATGAACAAAGATAAAACCCCCCAAAAAGATTATGTCCACATTTGAATTAAAATTATTCAGTGTCTTCTTATATCTGCAAAGGGGCAAACAATCTTGCACATACAAGCATGCCATTCAATCCCTTCATGATGAGAATCAAACTAATTTCCAGATCATGAAGGATTGCCTGCTCACCAAAAATACTTTTCTACCTTCTGCCATTTTGTTGACATTAGCATCGATGTAGCACATTGGTTTGAAAGGTGATGAAAGAGGGGGACTCTATAGCACAGAAGATTCATGATCATAAACAGATAAGAGAGACTAAAGTCAAAAATCAAAGCTAAAACCTACATGCATTGAGGATGGGGCTAGGCAAAAGGATGAGGAACAATGTGTGGTAGGTTCAGAGTTTGCGTGGACTCATCATTATCTTACTGCCACAAATCCAATTGGTTTTGATTCTGTTCACTGGTCTCAGTGGGATAAAGCCTAAAAGCATCTTGAAGTGTTCTCATGGCTCCTGTTATAGACTCTGTAAAACCATTGTGCCCCAGGCCTCGATGAAATAGCTTTTCCAGTTACTCACATAACAACAAGACTCCAATTACTTTCCAGAAATAAAGACTCCAGTTCAGTTTAAAAGCAGTGTTGGCCATGGTGATATCTGAAAGAGTTAGGAGCTAGTTGGGAGAATATGCGAGAGACTTCTACTCTTGTCATCTGTGCAGTGGGCAATGGGCTCATTTTTGTTGGTTCTTTCTCCTAGGGAATGCTTTTGTGGCATCCTTGGCATCCCTCTGCTGAACATCAGTAACTATTATAAGCAACAATTCTCACCTGCTGACCACTTACAACTGTTTACCTCATCTTGGGGCTCCTCAAGGGCCACTTCTCTCTATGGGACATGGTGTAGCCCCAGATGTTCCTCTGGGAGAGTCCGTCCTTTTGGTTGAGTCAGACTTTTGTTTCACAAGATCCACTTGTAGCAATAGGGAAATAAGCTCCTTTGTCTCGGCAAGGGTGCAAAAATGTCTTCTCTTGAACTTCTCTCTTGTTATCAAAGAATAGTCTTCTTTTCACTGTTCAATCTTTCCCAACATCCATCCAACACCAGTTCCCATGTCCCCAGACTCCTGTAGACACATTTCAAGCTTCCCAATTAGTCTCTTTTTAACTGGAACACTAGATTTGGGGTGAGGCTGCAGAGTTCTCCCTACCTTCAGTCAAGGAGAAGGAAGACACTCAGTCACATTTTCCAAATAAATTTTCTTTCGATTTTTTTTTTACCCCAATCTTTTATGTGGTCAGAGGGAATGATCACCTAATTCTGGCATCTCTGGCTTGAGTCAGTCCTCTTATCTTACAGACATCATCTAGATTTGGTAGCTATATGGTATCTACTATTTTACTCTTGGCCCTGTACATCTCTGCCAAAATTCCAGGGAAAAAGACACTGTTACATCTCACATCCTATGACCCTCCGGTGCTGGCTGTGGCACCTCCATTGAAGGGCCTGGCTTGACTTTCCCTGACAGGCCCAGGCCCCAGGTCTGGCACGTGATAAATACTTTCAGGCCCTTTTTACTTGCTTAGATTCTTCTTTCTGCCTGGGATGTCCTTCATTGGAGAGATTTGAAAAATCTCTCCATCCTCTGATACTCAGCTCAATTAATACCTCTGTTGTACACCTTTCTGCATGCCCTTGGTCAGAAAGAATTCTAAACCAGCTGTATTTACTTCAGGTTTTGGAATCACATAATGAAAATTCTAGGCTTCAGTGTAAGACAGACTTTGGTTTACACTTGAGCCCACCATTTTAATAGCTCTGTGTCACTTCAACCAAGTTCCCTCATCTTTCTATATGTTCATCTGAACAAATGAAGGAAAAATAACTTTTCATTATACTTGAGGTCATGTATATATAAAGAGAAATAATGTATATAAGCACAAAGCACAATATCTTAATATGATAAGTACTCAATATGACAGGTGAACACTAATATGATAGACTGTTAATACTATGATTGTACTATTACTATGGCTACTAATAGTATTACTTCTGTCATCTCAGATGTAAAAAATACAAATGCAGCAAGAAAGAAATCTGTTGCTACTTGTCTAGCTTGACTTTTGTTCATTGCCATCTGCCAGTCATAGACTAGATTCTTTATATATATATTCCACAATTTCACCCTCCCAATTTCCCCATGAGGTAAGTGTAATTATCTCTTTTTGACAGATGAGGAAACTGAGGTTCAGGGAGATGAAATAACTTGCCCGTGTTCCCACAGCAAAAAAGGGCAGAGCCGGAAAGGAGAATCTCGGTCTGCTCACATCAAAGCGTGTGCAGGTAATGACCACATTGCACAGCAGTATCTGCAGGCTCTTAGGTCGTTGCTTAACATCTGGATTTTACAAAAGAGCATCCCTTACTCTAGTGCTTTCTGTGCCTGTTCATTCCAGTGCAACTTTCACTCCAATGTGATTTTAGATTCTGCAAAAATTCCCTGCTACAAAATACCATTCAAAATTTTCATGAGTTCCCTTTAAGTGAATGGTGGGAGATCGATGAACCTTTCTGATTTCAGGCATTTTCTGAATGAGCATCTCCCTCTGCTTTAGAAGCCTTTACAGTGGCTACCTAGCTGTCCCTATCAAATCCACTCTTCCTTAGAGTACCTGGAACTTTAAATGAACAGTTGAGACCCAGTCAGGTGATAGCCATTAAATTGTGTCATACTTATTTAATACATATGACACATCCTCCCAGGAGAGCTGAAGTGCAAAATGTTATTAATGTCGTCTCAGTGTTCCAGTTTTGTCACGGGCATAGCTTTTATTTCCACCTGTGGAAGGTACTGCATTTTCAAGTACAAAAGCTGAGTGAGAATGTGTGAGGAGGTGACACAACCATCCTCTTTCCCCCATTGTTGGCATGAAAGAGTCTTGCTTCCTCTTTACCCCATGGATGGGCCAAACTTCTCAGGGCTCTACGCGATAGCAGATAGGAGACTCAGCTCCTAATGAACCCTCGCCCTGTTTCTCCAAAGACTTGAGTTATGGGTCAACTTTCTAGAAAGATAAATAAGTAAAACTTCTCATGTTAGATAATGAAAGGATGAGGCAAAGTGAAGTATGGAATATCAGTGTTGGCCAAGGAAGGTATAAGAGGAACGGTGAGGCACAACCTCAGAGCCAGTGGGTTACTCTCACAGACAATTCTTTCTTTCTTTCTTTCTTTCTTTCTTTCTTTTTTTTTTAAAGATTTATTTATTTATTTATGCAAGCACTGGGTACAGTACATCTTAGAAGCAGGGAAGGGTGAGAGAATTCACCAGAGCCAGAGTGGGGAACAGAACAGGCAGACTGACGAAATACATTGCTGAGGGGAGCAACGGGTGCGGCAGGAGAGGTCTGCGCGCCATGTGGGACCCTCGCTGGTGGCCGGGGATCGAACCGGCGCTGCAGAGGCTGCGGGCAGCTTCACAGCCCAGCACTCAACCTCTGCAACACCGGGGAGCCATCACAGCCAATTCTATAATTAGGAGTGGAGCTTTCTGGACTCTATTTCTGACTTCCTGAACTAGGGACTCTATTTCTGGCTTCTGGGAACTAGGGACAGAGGCTGTGAGTGCCTTGTGGACTTTAAAATGACTGAGCAGGGCCTCCCTGGTGGCGCAGCGGTTGAGCTCTGGGTTGCGCAGCCTCTGCAGCGCCAGTTCAATCCCCGGCTTCTCCCCAGCCACCGGAGGAGGGTCCCACATGGCGCACAGACCTCTCCTGCCGCCCGCTGCTCCCCTCAGCAGCGTACTTCAGTCTGCCTGCTCTGCTCCCCGCTCTGGCTCTGGTGAATTCTCTCACCCTCCCTCGCTTCTGACTGTACCCAGTGCTTGTATAAATAAATAAAAATAAATCTTAAAAAAAAAAGCAAACATTGTACAAAAAAAATAAAATAAAATGACTGAGCATAAGCAGGCTGAACGCGCGTGCACTCTTTCTGTTTTCCATTGCACCCTGGTTTCTGCTCAGGGGCTGCTATCTATAGGCAGAACAGATGGTATCCGGATAACTACCAGCCAATACATTTTCTTCTTCTTTCTCTTAGTTCTCCCTTTGCTTATTCCATATGTAAATGAATCCTTTTAATTCCCCATTTTTTCTTGTTTCTGTGTACCTACTTTTAGTTTTTGTCCTGTATTCTTAACCATAGATATGATGACTTACAAGCTGGGTCACCTCCTTTACCCCCAGGTTTGCCCCATAACAAAAGGGACCTACAGGAAGTAAGGGATCCAAGTGGTTATATGGATAAGGATATGTGGTGTGTGGGGAAGTTCTGCAGCCTGGTGGGGCTGGAGAACAGTGGAAGGTGATGAGGCAGAACTGGGAGGAGGCTCTTGTGGGGCCTGTAGGGTGTAGTCAGGCTTATTCTTTTGTTCTGAGGCCTTTTAAAAAAATTAAATGATTGTGTTACATTGTGTCATGTATTTAATTGTTGATGAAATTCACAAAACATTTGTACTAGATGTCTCAGACACAGGCATGCATGGGGTTGACATTCCCATATATAACAGAATGTACATAGGAATATAGACATTTCATAGGTAATTGCAAGCAGGGAAAACACACACACACATGTGCGTACATATGTATTTAACAAGCAATTACAAGACTTCTTAGTAGCACAAGTAAGGAACTATGCAGTATTGTAGAAGTACCTAAAGACAGGGGGCGGGGGCAATAGACAAGTTGGACCTTCTGAAGATGCTGAGAAACTATGGTTAAAGGTATTGGTGGTTGTTGCTATAAAAATCCTCTCATTTTACTTTTATTCCTTTTCTTATTTAGGGCATTGTTTAATTTCCTAACTTAGGCTTCAAAATATGCTGATTTCATATTCATCATCATGGTACACATCCGTCTTGCCAATGGGTGACAAAAACCAATCTCCCCACTGCAGACGCCCACCCACAGCAGTTCTGCTGTTAGAGGCAACTGCCAGGAGCAGATTTTAAGTTTGGTAAGTGCAATTCAAACTGGCATGATCAAACCACCCAGTTTCCAAATTACTTGCACTTTCTTCATAACCTCTTTACCAGCACCCTGTGGGACAAATGTTTACAACTTATTTCTTCTCCTCCCCCGCCCCGTGGTAAATCATATTCAAGGATGGAAAACAGAAAGAGTCTTAAATTATTCATTAGAATAGAATTTCTTTCCAAACAGTCAAGGTAGATTTAAAAATTACCACTGACTATGTGTTAGGAGTCTTTTCTCACTGAATGTAAGTTGTTAACCCTTCAAACAGATGAAGCTCATCGGTGGCTTTCTCGATTCTTGTCTTTTTCCTGTTCAAAGAATCGTGTGGCCATCTCCTATTTGAAGAAAAGAAAAATGGCATTAAACTGCTGTGGTGCCTTTGAAGGAGGCTGCAGCACTTGGCCATCTCGTGTGTGAGGACATATTGCTCTCCTGGTGCTGCTGTCCTGGAACTTGGGCATTTTCAAACCTACTGCTCTTGACAAATTTGGGGTAATTTACATAGTCTCACACTGCTCCCAGTTTATGGCAGAACGTGTCTTACATTTATAATGCATTCAAAACTCCTTGGAATTTCAACCTGTTTAGTAACAAATAATTTTTCAGCAGATAAGAAGGAAAAAGAAGCAAAAACTGGTGACATCATTTTTGTTCTCTTTTCAAAGTCTGATCCCAACAATCTCTGGGAATTCCTAAGAATTCTGGAAGGTGCAGACCTGTGCTGATGTAATTCTAGGCAACCCACATATTTATGTATTTGGAAGGTGGCTACTACTGTCAGTTCTTCAGCTATATCTTTGTGCTCTATCAGGGCCCTCCCAGCCTATCGGATGAAAGCTGTGATTGCTCTGAATTTCCACTAGAGACCTCTAGCTGATCACAGGAGGCCAGGTTTTTTCTAGAAGCAGCAGAGGTTAAGAGTTTGCCAATTGCCCTGGGAGAAGGTGGAGTATACCATCAAAGGAAAATAATTCTGTTCTCTGTCTCTCTCTCTCACACACACACACATCTTTTTCTTAAACAAATGTAGACTTATTCAAGCATGTGTATTGTAAAAAACCAAAGAGGAAATTTTCCATGTTTTAAATTAATGCCGCTGAAATTACAAAATAGATATTCTTCTAGGTTGAATAGCTCCTTCTCCAAGGAGTTTTCTGTGCTGACACTTGGAGATCAGGCTCAAATCACAGCATTTAAGAGTCTCTGCTACAAGGTCTGAGAGAGGATGAGTGCCCCTCATAGGCAGTGGGTACCTGGACATTATCATGAAGCTGATCAAAATGCCCTCCATCCCCTGCCAGCCCCCAGGTAGCCTTCTCCTTGGTGCTTGCACCTCCAATGTGGAGCCTGTGGCTGTAATTCCATGCAACAGCAACAGATGGGACACATCTGTAAGGAGAGACTGGTAGATGAAGTTTCACCATTTTCTCGAAAAGGCAAAACACATTAATCTCCATTTGCTTTGAATGGTTGTAATGGAAACATAGGGCAAAAAAGGAAAAAAATCTCCCCTCGTTTAACCTGTGCCCCTGTGAAAAATTGCTATAGCTTATATTTCAGAAACTGAGTGTAACTAATTTTACCTTCTATTCATGGTCTTCACCATATACCAGCATTAAAAAGAGAAACAGAGTAGGTCAGTGAGTCTAGAAAGCCTTTCATAGTTGATCAGTATTTCTCCAGGGCCTCTCTAACAACTAGCTTTCTCTGAGATAGTTGTTGATACTTTGCACATGTCTTAAAGGAAAATTATTTTAGGTAGATTGTTATTTATTCACCCAATTATTCATTCATTTATCAAACGCCTGTAATGTGCCAGTCACTTTGATTTGCAAGGAAAACATAAATGGAGATGCACAAGATTTACAAAGAGTTCCTGCCTTCGGATATACAGATTCCTGAGTGAATGACTCTTTCAAGATGTCTGTAAACCTTCTAAGGGGGGGGGGGTTGGTGTGTGTGTGTGTGTGTGTGTGTGTGTGTGTTTGCACCTGGGTGCTAACTAGTGAGAAAAATTTAAGATGTAACACAATCCCTAAAGGGGTTGATATAAAAAGATAGTTAATAATCACTGCAGAGCCTGGCAGTTATATAGGCAGATAATTAGAAGACAGATAATAGAGCCATGCACAGTGTCTAGAGCTTACAGGTGGAGTCACCACAACTGTCCCTGACATGAAGGTGCTAGAGAGAAGGCAGCTTCTGTGTTACATGTGAAGGATGAGCAGGAATTCTCCAGCAGACTTGTTGGGAGGGTAGATGGAAGCCAGTGTGCCCTGGAGGGCTGTTCACCTACAGAGTCTGAGGCCACCCTACAAGTAGGAGCATGATTGGTATTTTCTCCAGTGCAGCTTGACAAATGGAGCATGCTTTACCATTAGTCAACAATTACAGGAAAAGGAATTCCACAGGCATGTCCTGGCTGACCACAAATGGCTAAGAGCACATGCAAATTCAGGATGCCCAAAGGTAGATGGGGGTGATCAAAAAGACCTCAGATGCTGGACCAGGGTTGCAGCAGTGTCTAACCTTTGCATGCACATGTTACTGCTCTGAAACTCATACTGCCCTGGGAAGGAACGCCCCATGCAGTGGGTGGAGCCCTGCATGGGAGAGCTGTCTCTGATTCAATCACTGCCCAGCTGCCTGCTCACTGAGCTCCTGCTAGCCTCCTTCATTTGCTCCTCTTTATGTAACAGTTACCATCTATTAAGAACCTCAATCCCAGTTGCTAGGCTAGGTAAATTATCTGCCTTCTTTCATTTAACTCTCACAATATCCTACAATGTGAATTTTACCCTCTTTATTTTCTAAGTAATTTCATGTGAAATTAGTCACAAGATTTGAATAAATCCACTGAGTCATGTAGCTAAAAAGTAGTGATACCACCATCAGAACCACAGTCTCTGACTCCAAAGTCCATAGCCATTTTTGTTCATCTCATTTGTTTTGGATACATCTTCCTCATCCATTTCAAATGTGCTTTAAATGTCATCACCTTGAGGCTGTTAATATATCAGTGAGACAGTAGTGGCAAGTATAATTTGACACTTAGCTCTACAGAGCCAGAATAAGGTATTAGACATACATTACTTATCTAGGAAGTTAAAAAGCTGGAGTTTTCTACCTGTGCCAAGTTTTGATGTTAATGGCAGTTTGAGATGAAATTTAGAGGATATATTTGAGGCTAATGTTAAACTGTCTTCTCGTTGATATGAGTATTGGTTCTGAGATCTGATAATACCTTAAAAGGTAACAGTCTGAAATAAGTAGCAACATGTTTTCTCAAAATGTTTCAAATTGCAAATACAGTCCTTTGATAAGATATTTGGCAATATGATTTAAGTCACCATAAATCTTCAAACTGAGCACTTGTGGGAATTTTGTAAATACTACAAAATTGTTTTTCTTCTGCACTCCAAATACTGGTTTTTGTATTTTTTTTCTGTGTTAAAAAATATAGACATATTTAAAGAGACTTTTGGGGGCTTTATTTCCTAATCTATACATTTAAACTTGAATAGTTTGTGCATCCATTACAACATATTACAGACATATCTTCCTAATAACAGTTACAAAATCCAATTATGATTTTTGGCTGTTAGGATGTAGCAGTGAATAAACTTGTAGAGTAAGGCTAGCAGTCATTCAATTAACTTTATAATGTCAAAATCTTGGGTAATGTCAGGGTTATGCTTATTTAAGACATGACAAGTTGACAAGATATTATTCTTTCTTGAGATCTGCAAGTCTCTCTAATGTTCAGAAACAAAATAAGTAGATGGATAGAATTCTACAATCACTTAGTTAAAAAGTGAAAAACCAGTCAGTCAGTTGAAGAGCCAAGGATTTGGCATTCTATACTCAAGTTGTCTGAACATTTTAATTAAAATTTTCACTTTAAATGAGAATGAGCTATACTACAGATACCTGGGGAGCCGACTCTGAGATGGTATTTGACATGCAGGAAGTTGACTCTGGTCAACCTGTATGGAAGGAGAGCTGGACAGGACAGAAGGTAAAGGGGGCACTGATATATCATGGAACATTCCTGCCTCCATGCAGGAAGTGGGTAGGTGGATAACTCTTTGGGGCTGTCCTAAATTGGGGCAGAGGGTCTGGAATATTAACTCTTCATGAAGATCACTCACTGGATATGGGTCACATGGAAAGATGACTTGACCTTGGCAAGCTCTCTTCAACAGAGACAAGCCTGAAGCAGCCACAGGTGAGAGCAACACCACCACTCAGTCACTAAGGGAACTCATCCTCAGTGATGAAGGGGTTCCAGGTGACATCACAATGTCCGCCATGGGTTGACATCCAGACACTATGAAGTTATTTAATATTCCTATGTAACAGTTTCTGCAATATCAATTTCTCATTTGCTAATTTGCAAAAACTTTAGTTTTCTTCGAGTTCTTTAATAAATTTGCAGCACACACACATGTCTCCTTTAGGATGCTAGCAACAAACCATCACAATGAATTTATAAAATATGGTACATGAATTTTTTATACTGTGTGAAAACATTTATGTCATTTGGAATGCTGCATTTTTGAATTTGTGATTCCTGTAAATTGGTTATTGCAGACAGTTTGGTTTGCAGTGTCAACATTCTTTCACTTCATTGTTCTCTTGCCTTCTAACAACCTGTGATAAATCCTGGATATTAATTTTAAATAATTTTTAGTTTTTGCCGTTTTTTTCCTAGTGAGGTTATTGATCCAGTGATTATTTATGTCCATTTTGTCCCTTTAGAAAGTGATTAGGGTTTACAGGAAAAAATTCATTATACAAGTCAAAATAATATTCTGCTTATCATCTACCAAAAGCTTATGCATGTCTAGTACTAAGTGCTTTAGATAGTGAGTGTTATAGAAAACTATTTTAGAAATAGTGAGATGAAGTCTATGAGAAGTTAGATAATGTCCCCAAAACTAACAACTAGTGGATGGTAAAAATGGAATTTGATTTCAGAATATGAACACCCTCAAGGACTATACTGAAAATTTAGGGGGAGGGAAAATAAAATTACATGATTTAACACATATTTTATATTAACGAAAATACATTTTGTTTCAAAGTCTATATTTTTCTCATATATGACCTTAAATCCATTCATTTATTCAACTGTTTATCTCATTTATTCATCTAACAAATAGTTGGTTTCTATATGCCAGGCAATTTTCTAGGCTCTTCTGTTCACCAGAGAGCGAATGATTAAAAAGGTCCAGTTCTGGGAGAACTGTTGTCAAGTAGAAGGAGATGAGAGATGATAATCACAAAACTTATTAAGGCTATATATGCATTAAGGCAAAGGGGAGCCTAAGTTGTAGTTTTATTTTTTTAAGATTTATTTATTTATACAAGAACTGGGGTACAGGTCAGAGGCGCTGGAAGGTGAGGGAATTCACCAGAGAGAGTGGGGAGCAGAACAGACAGACAGACCAAAGACACAGCTGAGGGAGCAGCGGGCAAGGCAGGAGAGGTCCAAGGCAGGAGAGGTCTGCCGCACCATGTGGGTATCTCCCTGGCTGGCCGGGAATCGAACCCTCGCTGCAGAGGCTGCAGACAGCTCCACACTGCAGCGCTCAACCCGCTGTGCCACCAGGGAGGCCCATAAGCTGTAATTTTAAATAGGAAGGTCAGCATTGGCCTCTTTGAGAAGCTAATCCTGATAAATGATAGAAAGAAAGTGAAGGAATTAGCTCTATAGATACTAAGAGGAAGACTATACCAGGCAGCTAGGATATCCAAGACATGTTTCAAATACAGGAGCATGATGGGTGTGAGTGGAGAACAGTGACATTAGAGTCAACTAGGGAAGGTTTCACATTGACCTTAAAAGTCAAAAGAGAAATCAGTGCACATAAGGAGAGTAAAAATGTAACTACAAAATAATAATGATGATGTTGATGAGGATGATGATGATAAAGAGATTAGTTATAATGCCTGCTCATAACGTCTTTAATCCTACTTATTCAGATAAAAGTGTGGGTGAATAAAAAACTCTATGATGGTTATATCAACTTGACAGTGCCGGATCTCTGATTAAACATTGTTTTGAGATGCAGCTGAGGGGGTTTCTGCAAGAGATTAGAATTTGAGTTGGAGAACTGAGTAAAGCAGATGGCCCTCCCCAAAGTAGGTGGATATCTTTTAATCTGTTAAGGTACTGCATAGAACAAAAAGACAGAGAAAGGTTGGATTTATACTTGGGCTGACTGAGCTGAGACATTGATCTTCCTCTGGACTCATGCTCCTGCTCCTCAGGCCCTCTTGTCCTAGAATCTACACCATCGACTTTCTGACTCTCAGGCCTCAGAACTATACTGCCAGCTTCCCTGGGTCTCCATTTGCAGAGGGCAGATCATTGGATCTCAGCTTCCATAATCATGTTTGCCAGTGCTTTATACTATAAATAGGCATTGATGTAGATGTAAATATAGATATATCTCCTATTGGCTCTGTTTCCCTGGAGAACCCTGACTAGTATAGATTCTATTTCATATTAGAAATGGAAAGCAAAGATGAACTGAGTAATAGAGCCTGAAAGCAGTGTAACTGATGTACCGATGTTTACATATGAATTTTTGTTTTTCTCATACCCTTAAGGATGGTGACATGACTGCAAACAAGGCCCAGATACAGACCCATGGATTGAAGTCTTGGATATTTTACTGACTCAACAGGGTATATAGAACAAGTGCTCAGGGAGTTGTTATTATGTCATAGTCTGAAGATTAAACCTTCTCTAGGATTGCAGTGACAAAGCAAAGAAGAATTAAACCACACCTTTGAGGGAGAATTTGAATGCTTGGAAACATTCCCAAGTCATTTCTACTCTCTTCTCTGTAATCAAAGCAAGAAGAAACACATTTGTAAAATGTCCTTAACCTTCATAACTCCTTTGTTGCAGTGGAACATATTGGTAAGATTGAGTAAGCCTCTTTTTACTCATCTTGTCAGACTTTAAAAATCTGTGCATAAGTTAGGCATCACTGATATTAAGTTCCTTAATATTCCAAGGGATAAAATTTTTTTCCCTCAAATTCCTGTTTTTAATTTCTTGCTACAATCTTAGAACACTTAGCATCAAAAGGTACACAACTGCTCATTTCAATCTAGTATCATCACATTGGTTACAACAACTGTTGGGAATTCTAAAAAACAATATTCTCTCTATATACTCCAATTTTCTGGTTTGCAATTCCTTTATGCATTCAGCTTCTTAATAAGGACCCTCGGGTCCCAGATTATTCTTACAATTAAATCTTGGTACAAATTCATTCAAAGAAATTTTGGCTAATTGGAGAGTTACAACCTTTAATTTAACTCCCCACTACCTTTGATGCGCTTGATCATGAACATTTTTTTCCCAATGGTATAGCAACATGTCTATTTTCAGAAGCTGTGTTTTACAATCTTGATGTACCCTGGATTCTGCCAGAAGGATTCTTAGTAAATGCTTGTGATAGCACATTTATAGTCTTAAATGGGATGTAACTATGTACAGGGACTACTATATCATCAACTGCTTTTGGTGGTCAAAAATGGTACTTTGTATCCCCTGCCCATTATCATTAATAATTACTCTGGAAGTATCTAAAATTCCTGAAATTTATTGCACCATCTCTACTACCTCATAGTTTTCCACATTTCATCTCTTTTTGTGATGAAAATTGTATGGGTTACAGATACTTTACATAACTTCATAGGTCTTTCAATCGCAGTTATTCCAGTAGAGCTTCTCAAATAATTAAAATTGTAATTAGGAGACTTATGCTTTTTGGTTGTGCCCTATGAGGATATAATGACAAGGTGGCCTGCTGCAAATCATGAAAATAGCCCTCAGCAAGAACCAAATCTGTCAACACCTTGATCTTAGACTTTCCCAGGCTCCAGTACGATGAGGGAAGAAATGTCTGTTGTTAAGCCACCCAGTTTATGATATCCTGTTAGAGCCACTAAAGCCAATTAACACAATGTGGTCTACAGTTGGGTCTTTGTAATTCACTACCTCCTACTACCCTCCAGAAACTTATATATTATAAGTGACTATTTTTGTCTTATGTCCTTACAGTCTTCAACTCACCTTGGCTAAGTTGGCAGTGTACGTTGCAGCATACATTTCATGTACTGAGATATAGCTGATTAGATTATTGTTCCAATAATAATGAATAACATTGTTAAAGTATTATTAAGTAATTCTTAAGTCTCCTGATACATAGTAACTGTACCAAATACTCCATATAATTATTTAATTTAAATGTCTTTAATAATCCTTGGAAGTCAGTACTATTAATATCTTGAACTTGGGGCTGTTAAAACAAATTTGGAAAGGTATGCTTCCTACCACATAGCTATAAATCATATTGAAATTATATATTGTATTTCATGCATGATATGTAGTAGATGCAGGGTTTGAACCATGACTATCTGCTTCTTCTCTACAGATTGTTAGACTTCACTTATTGGTAACCAGTAGTGTATAACATAGCATCTTACACAGAAAATAACTTACTCTCAAGAATGAATTGCCAGGCCTCCCCGGTGGCGCAGCGGTTGAGCGCTGGGTTGTGAAGTGCTGGTTTGATTCCCGGCTGCTCCCTGGCCACTGGAGGAGGGTCCCACATGGCGCGCAGACCTCTCCTGCCGCCCGCTGCTCCCCTCAGCAGTGTACTTCAGTCCTACTGCCTGCTCTGCTCCCCGCTCTGGCTCTGGTGAATTGTCTCACCACCCCCTGCACTTCTGACTGTACCCAGTGCTTGTATAAATAAATAAATAAATCTAAAAAAAAACCAACAACAATGGAATGTTTAAGAAACCTTTAAAAAAAAAAAAAAAGAATGAATTGCCATAAAAGATCCTACTTTCAACCTGAACTGAACAATATTTCTTTAAATCTTTGTCACCTTTAAATGCTGCACTTATACTGCATATTAATTATATGTTCTACCAAGTTGCTACCAGTTTGATTTAGAATACTTTGACTCCTAAAACCAAGATGAAACCCAGAGATATGCTCAGTGATACATTTAGGAAAAGACTTGTTTCAGTGGAAAATCCAAAACCATCGTGTGAGCCCATGAACTGCCGCTTGACCCTCTTGCCTACAGTTCTCACACTAGAAAAAAAGTCCTATCAGCTCAAGCATTTGGCAGAAAGCCCAATGAAACTGCTTTTGTTTGGTGAGAGCTACTGATCTGTGAGGAATGCTTGAATACTAAAGAGATAAATAGAACATTTTCCAAGGTCCAGGTAACTGTAAGA